TCCGAAGGTGGAAATTTTGTGCGTAAAATTTCTAAAAAACCTATTTTTCGGACCAAATTTTTAGATCTGTCAATTGAATGATATGGGTACCCACGATCTGTAAGGTTTTTTCCGTTTCGGATGAAATAAAATCATCATCGTGAAAATCCATCTACTAGAACGGAGGGATCTATCCTTCCAACAACACGAAATTTGGCAAAAAAAAAATGTTTTTGAAAATATCGCCGATTTATTTGCGTTTTCTGTGGATCATTTCCGTTTCAATAAATGACCTGTTAGGGATTTTGAACTGTTCCGAAAACAGCGTTAAATACATATAGACTTTTTGGAAATTTTTTGGGTTCTTCAATGCAACATGTAGTACATCTTAGCCTTCAAATGAAATTTCGCAAAATATACATGGACTGGAAGAAAAATTACAGTACTTCCTGGAAACCGCATGCGCATCAAATGATTTTGAGGATTACGCGATTTAGACGCAATTTAAAATGCATATTTAATAATATAGTTTTATTTTAAGATTTATTCCCATTTAGAGAACCCCAATGTTAAATCCAATAATAACACGTGGGTTTATGTCCATTCAGAGGTTATGTGTTTTATTGTTAAAAGAAGACTTTGGACTAAGAGTAAAAGTTACGGCTAAAGGAATGATGAAAAATAGAGTTGCCATATAATATGAATTCAAATACAAATGTGTAGTGTAGCCAGATAAGGCATAACTATATTAATAAGGTAATACATAACACCCAAGATTTATCGGAAGTGTCTTGTTATAATCCGCAAGGTGTATACTTATACACAAGAAGTGATTATTTCTTTATAGGTAAAATTTTCCGTGAAATTTAGGTAAAATAGAAGAATAACCCCTACATTTTTACAGAAATAAAAATAAATATGATATCATTTTTTCGAGCCAAAAACAAATAATTTTCCTCGATATCTTGTTTTGTTGTCCCTGTAATTCACAAACCGTTACACAGACTTGTGTGATTTTGATATCATTTGATTCACCATGATGTTTAGGTTATGTAGATATTTTTAAATTAATTTTTAGGTTGATACATTTCATTAATATAATAAAAATTTATATATTTACTAGCTGACCCGGCAAACGTTGTTTTGCTTATCAATATTGCATCAATATAAGGTTGGTAAAAAAACATTTACCACTAAGTTTATGTCAATAAAAAGTATAAACTGGTATCCCAATGCACATAACAGTTTATAATTTGGTAGAACTTATTTCACCAAATTTTTTTATTTGTTTGGTTATTGATCCATGTTTTTTTTATTGCTCCAACGTTTTTACATTATCTTATTTGTCCCTTCTTGAAGGATTCTTAATTACAATATTATTTTGTTCATGTCCAACTGTCTATCTGATTTTTATATATAACTCGAAAAATTATATAACTCGAAAAATTTTAGATATGGCATAGAAATTTAGTGGTTTCCGCTCAGTTATAGGTATATTTAATTTTTAAACAAATTGTTAATTAGTTTTCAGATTGCCGTTAGAGATTGGTACATGCTTGATAAAAATTCTTGTAGGCGATCTTGAGTTATAAACGATGTAACTAACACAACGTTCGATTATTCCAATTTCCCGACTTTTTGATGTTTTCTCAACATTTTCTTCGTAAAAAACTTCCCAATGTAATTTTAAACAGCCGAAGAAAGACGTGAGTGAAATCCCTGCAAACATTTTTCAAATCTTTAAAAATACATATGAGAAACCATAAAGGCACTTGTAATGCGGAATTGCCTCCATGTAGGATTCGAATTTAAATGTATTCTTCCCGAATATAAGAAAATGTTCAATAATACCTTCGTATTTTGTTGACGTATTTGTAATCGTATATATCGAATTACTATCATCATTGAATATGTGTTGTATTTATAAGTTCAAAACAATTTGTTCCATTACTGTGCGTTTTTAATCGTCCTTACCGGATTTTAAGTACTTGGAAAATAGTAACAACAAATCTATTTAATTGCATTTAATTAGGTATTCCCCATAGGGTGAGAAACTTCTCTCATAATTGCCGGTATAGTTTTTGGTATAGAGTCCAAATAATGGAATCGTTTAATCTTTACTTTACCATGTCTTACTGTGTTTTATTTGAGAAAAATTTCACAACCTATACATACCATGCAAATTTCTTCACATAACATAAATTATATTTTCAAACTAAATAAATCTTGATTTTATAGAAAACGTGAGCAAATAATGATAGCGATTATTCTTACTCTCTCTTTTCGATTTCTTATTATTAAATTTAACTCTAATGAAAACATAAATTTATTTTCATATACAATAGTTTTCAAGGCAATGACAATCCAATTAATTGTAGAAAATTAACATATTTTGAGAATTTTCCATAATTGACAATTACTTAAAGATATACGCTGCCTATTTTCGCCCAAAATATGCCAAAAAAGAACTACGAAGAGATGAAACCATAAAGGTTCGATATAAAATGTGTGGAAACGCTAATATCTTTCAAAATATATTTTGCAACATTTTCGCGGATTTTTCTCAAAATGATGTTAGTAATTTGCTATATACGATTACAAATACGTCTACAAAATTCGAAGGTATTATTGAACATTTTGATATATTTAAATTTGAATCCTACATGGATGTGTATGTGCCTTTATGGTTCCTCAAATATATTTTTAAAGATGTGAATAATGTTTGCATGGTATATTGACTTAACCGATTTCACCCACGTTTTCCTTCGTTGTTTGTCATTGCATTGAGAAGGTTTTTACGAAAAAAATGTTGAGAATAATCGAACGTTGTGTTTATAACTCAAGAACGTCAAACGATTCAAAGGACTTTTAAATCGTTTGTGGCCAATTATTGTATCGAGCTTTAATGTTTAAATAAATTGTTGTTTTTTAAGACATATGGTTTTTTGAGTTAGTTAGATCAAAACTTCTAATTTCATAAAATATGTGTATGTTCTAATACTAATAATGCACGCGAAAATTACCATGATAATGGTATTCCCGTCAGATATTTGATGTTTTGTCTTATTTTCTTTAGAGCCCAAGCTGTTGGATATGAAATCTCATTTTCATATTTGTCAAAAAAGTTTGTTATTTTTCGACAATGTTTCTTTTTTTTTTTTTTTTTTTGCCCGACAACTTGAAATTTGGATGTGGACTTATGTAACCTTAAACCACAACTTATTCAAATGTTAAATTATAGCTGTTGAAAATGTGAGGATGTAAAAATCCGATTACCACATTTCACGATTTAGAGTTAAGATATAAAACATGCATTTACAATTATAACAAGGTATACGGCGTCAACATTGGCCAAATTATTCCCCCATAACTGTCAAAAACTATTTAGAGAATATATAGCAAAAATATACAAATTTATAACGGCAATCTAAAAACTAATTAACAATTTGATTAAAAGTGAAATAAACCTATAACTGAGCGAAAACCACAAAATTTCTATGCCAAATCTAAAATTTTTCGAGTTATACACTGATTTCAGAATAAAAATCAAAAGCACAGTTGGACATGAACAAAATGATATTGTAATTAAGAGTCCTTCAAGAAGGGACAAATTAGATAATGTAAAAACGTTGGAGCAATAACAAAACATGATCTTCTACTGAAAAATAAAAAAACATTTGGTGAAATAAGTTCTACCAAATTATAAACTGTTATGTGCTTTTTATTGACATTAATTTAGTGCAAATGTTTTTTAACAACCTTATATTGATGCAATATTGATAAGGCAAAACAACGTTTGCGGGTCAGCTAGTACTAATAAGATATATACGTCAATACTAATACCAAATCATAATATGAAATACGAATGAAAAGTAATATACCTTGAGAAAAATTTAAATCAGCGTTGACGTATTTCGGTAAAGTTCATAAAAACTAACACACGTGTGTTTTACTTTTGTGGTAAATAACGTTGAACGAACTAGTAGAATTTTAGAATTCCAATTACATACTAAGTTATTTTGTAAAAATAAGAGATATTCATTTTCTTCATAACATTAAGTAAAATAAAGTAAAAAAGACAAAATTTTGTGCCATTTTGTTAAAAAATACATGAGTTGTCGATCGTATCCCTTCTTGTTTGCATGTACAAAACAAAGAGAAAATTTTTCCAGTAAGATTTTTCAATATTCAGTAATACAAAATTCCAAATTGTTACAAACTATCGGGTACGCAGCACGAAAGAAAAAAAATATGAAAATTATTTAAATTCTATATAAAATAAGTTTAGTGAGATCATAAAAACTTATCATTGAAACCCAAACGAATTTCCGATTATTTCTTACTATATATTTACTTTGACTATTTCGACTACAATACTAACAAAAGTTTATTCTATACGAGTTCCTTCTAAAAGCTTTGAAATATAGCGTATGTGTGGGTCAGTATGTATCAAAGATTAGCGATAAAAAAATAATTAGCGTAAAAGTATGTTTATTAATTGATTTGAAATACTCGTTATTGTAACTAGTTACACGCACAATAAGTAAGGTATTCTTAAATGTTAGTGGCCATTTATTTATAAACTGCATCCACATAAACACGTCACATGTTGTTTATTTATGAATGAGGATATTTCATAAAAGATGAAGATGGGTGTGTGTGTGTTTGTCGGTTTTTCAATTATGATAGAATTAAAGAATGGTTGACTTAGCAAATGCAGGAGAAATACCACTAATGCTCTATGAAAATTCCACAAACAAGACTAATTGTGAACTATTTTGTGAGAGAATATACATTTCACTTAATGTACCATGATTATTGTAGCATTACATTCAGTGGACTTTTAATAAATAATTGTGTTTGCGTATGTATAGCACACATATTATGTATTAATATTTTGATCCTTTATCATATTCAGAGCACTCCACATTGACCATTACACATTTTGTACAAGTTTTTGTTTATTGTAGTTAGTTAATTGAAATAGTCTGACAAGTATACATCTTTTCTATAAACACATTATGTGTCCTGGACCTTTGAGTGTTAACATGAAAGAATCAAAAATGAAACAATCCCCGGAACTTCAAAACCAAAACGATGCCATTATTTTGAATGGGGTCACAACTGGTAATACTAAAGCGAAAAATGTTCTCAATGACATTACGAGTATACTCCTCATCCTGAAGGCTACTGGATTGATGCCACTTTATGAGACATTGTCCGAGTACGAATTAGGAGCACCTAAAGTACTTAGTCGAATGTATTCGATAGTTGTACATTTCATGGTACACGCAATGACTATCTTCAATATGTACAATTTATTCTCGGGCGGAAGCAATCAACTTTTCTACTCTTATCGAGAAACGGACAACATCAACTATTGGATAGAAATTCTTTTATGCATCGTCACCTATACCACGACCGTTGTAGTATGTTCCAAGAATTCGAAGGCATTCCTCAAGATACTCAACGAAACGCTTAAAATCGACGAAGAAATAAAGCAACGATTTTCAGCTACCATTGTCAATAATTGCGGGTTTGCTGCTAAATTCATTGTCCTTATTTTGGCTTTTCAGTGGTACATTGTCCTCCTCAAAATTCTACTAATCGATCAGCCATTAACGGCTACCTCATACATCATCATTAGTGTTTATTCCATTCAGAATGCCTTGTCGTCGATATTCATAGTTTATTCGTCGGTGTTGCTGCGATTATTGTCCGTTCGCTTCGCTTATTTGAATTCAATTATAAACGGCTACACTTATAAGGAACAGCAAAGGACGAGAAGATTTCGTGCGCGTATACCGAATAAGGAACACACGGCGCCGCCACCGCCTATGAGCAGTTTCCCAGATGATTCTCTCTTTGCTTTCCGCATGTACAACAAATTGCTGCGTCTGTATAAATCGGTCAACGACAGTTGCAGTCTAATATTGGTTGTATATATGGGGTATTCGTTCTATTCGATTACAACGACAACGTACAATCTCTTCGTACAAATTACAACCCAAATGGAGATGTCATTCAATGTACTTCAAATATGTTTTGCACTATTATTTTCGCATACGGCTATGTTAGCGCTATTATCACGATGCTCCGGCGAAGCCACCGATCAGGTAGGTACATTTCTAATATATAAGAGTATTTTTTTTTTGGGTGCTTAAAATTTCAAAATTGAATATTATTTGTCGAGACTTATAATTTTTTCAATTTATAATGTTTTAACAACAATAACTATAACGAACACTTAAAACTGTAATGTATTATTTTAAAATCATTACAAGTTAACATGCTAATATTATAACTTTACAATTAATTTAATAATTTGGAGTACAGTGCTTGCTCCCGATACTTGAAATTATTTGTAGAGTCGTATCTACGAAATTAAAAAAATACAACTTGAAAATAACTTAAAAATTAATATGAATTTAAACTAAAATACAAAAAAAACTATCCCCTATACGTGCAGCGAGTAGAACATTTATAAAAGTTGAAATTTGGGCTATCTATCTGCCCTTGTAAAATATCAATCGCTGAAAGATATTGAGGGCGTAAGTAGCTAAGGGAGTAATTTTGCTCTCTCTATAAATAAAATCATTAGAAAAACGTTTCACCATGTGCAAAGAGAAGAAAATCATCGGCATAAAGTATACCCTTTGATCCATTTACTTCATGAGGGAAAATGTAAATGGAAATGTTATATAGATGGGGAGACAATACCGAGCTTTGCAGCACCCAACATCACATTGTACCCATAGGTGAGAGGGTATTCCCAACACAAAAACACACAAACCTCTATCAGAAGCTGTTGAATAATTTAACCATCGCAGGTTGAAACGAACAACATTTTGTAATAATTTGTACAAATTATTGAGTATACGAACGAACATTCTCCCACTCCCTGTAATCCAGAATAACTTATTTTTCCTCAAAGCGGATTTTTTCACTCTCGAACTTGATTCAGAATAAGGGAAAAGTGATAAAGCGAAAAAATTCGCTGCGAGTTCTGGTTCAGAATAACTTGAAAGGGAAGAGCGAACAAATTCACGATGAATTGATGTCCAGAATAAGGCTGAAAATTTATTGATTATTTGTTACCGATACCAACAGCCTTATTCTGGATATTCGCTGGGAGATATCTCGCATGTAAAAATTTTTTCGCTTTCACATTCTCGCCTTATTCTGAATGAATAGGGAGACGCAAAAAATGCGAGATGCGGATTCGAGTTTTCGAAAAAAAAGATTTGTGTTGTCATATTGTAATTTAAGTTGCAATGTATGTTGCCCCATTGTAATTTAATTGTGTAATATTCACCCCTATTCCGTATGTCGTCGTCGACACAAAACGACGTCGAAGAGTGTCGTCTTTTGCAAATTGGTATTCCCTATGTCGTTTTCGACATTTATCGATAACTATTGAAACATTTTTGGTATTCCGTAACAATGTGTGACGACGACGATGTCGAAGATTTCTTCGTCATAGTTTTTGTTGACGACTGAAGCGTTTGAACATTTTTTTTTTTAAATTAAAAAAAAAACACGTCCGGACAAGAACAGGATACGTCATTCTAGAATCTATTCAATACTTAATGCAAAATAATGTGTAAATAAAGAAAAATATATGGGATCTATATATAAATCTAAACCGATTTTGACCAATGTCAATAGGACTCGTCTATGTGGAAATAAAATTTCATCCCAATTGGATGGATTTTTTCCAAATTTCATCCCGTTCGGATCATAATGGTGGCATGTAACTTGTTTAAAATAATACATTAATGGAGGGATATGCATAAATCGACTGAAAAATAATTCTATGTACATAATATATACTAAAAAGTAACTATGGGTCTATCTCGTTTCTTTTTGGTCCTTGCAAACACATTTACCAAGACATAATGCCCTGTGCCACAGTGCGGTGAAGGATACAAACACATTTTTGCCCAAAAATATGCAACAAATTTTTTGTTTTTATTGATATTATCGATAAATAGTCGACATCGTCGCATGAGTGTTACAGAATACCAAATCAGTGTCGAAGTGATGTCGATGCGAAGTGATGTCGAAAGAGAAACGTCGTCGACAACGACGACGACATACGGAATAGGGGTGATTATTCAATATTTTATTTATTGATTTTATTTATTAAAAATGTTTACTTTTGATTGTTATTTAAACTTTATAACAATACAAATGTGAAATATCAATAATCCGGTGTATTAATGCTTTGTAATTAAAAGAAAATAAATTATAGTTTAAAAATATGGCAACCTACAATATGGCATGTGAAACAGCTGTTCATTGTTTTGATGCAATTTGGTGCAACAACTACAATAGATTACAAATAAAAGAACATTTTTTATGATGGCAAAAATTCAACGAATAATGGAAAGAAATCGGAGATTGAATTAATTAATTCGCAGTTTTTTATTTCTCTACATAATTGTGTGCCTTTCTATTTAATTTCGATATTTTATCTCCCCAAATTCTTAAAGTGGCCAGTTATGTTATGATTTGCTCCTACTCCTTTATTTCTTTCTTCAAATCATTTACACGATAATTTTGATAAAAAATATTTTTTGTAGCTTTATTTTTGTTCTTTCATAATTTTTATTTTTCACTGTTAAGCGGCTCATCAGGCAAATTTGCTTTTTCCATAGTTTTTATTTTTTTTCTTGAGAAACAGATCCTCACCCAAATGTCTGTATTTCGCATCCAAAATGCATCAAACTCCACTTAAATATTCCTTATTACCTTTAAATCGTCATAGTATAAATAAGTATTGTGTAAATATTTTTCATATAAATAGTTATTATTTATGTTTTTGTAGACAGCTCCCTTTGAGTTTATTAGCGAAAAATTCGCACAAAATTTCATCTCATTCTCCTACTCCCTGTAATCCAGAATACCTAATTTTTCCCCAAAGCTGATTTTTTCGCTTTCGAACTTCATTCAGAATAAGGCGAAAGCGAGAATGCCAAAAAATTCACAGGAAAATGTTGTTCAGAATAAGTCGAAGGGGAAGAGCGAGTAAATTCACGTAGAATTGACATCCAGAATAAGGCTGCAAATCTGATTCGAATTCGGGTGACTACTTTCATTCGAATAGACTTTCGATTGTTTTAGTGAAACTGACTACAAATGTTATGAAATGAAGATGTTGTATATATTTTCTATTTTTTCAGGCAAATTTAACTTCGCAGATCCTGGCACGAGTATATGAAAAATCAAGGGAATATCAAAATATAGTTAGTTATAGTTATACATACCCCAACTAGATACAACATCCTATTGATTGAATAAATTTCAGGTTGATAAATTTCTAACAAAGAGCATAAAACAGGAAATGCAATTTACTGCATATGGTTTCTTTGTAATTGACAATTCGACTCTCTTCAAGGTAATTCCCACAAAATGCTTATACGTATTTAAATTCAAAAATATGGTTTTCTATTCTTCTTCAAGATTTTCTCTGCGGTTACAACATATTTGGTAATATTGATCCAATTCAAACAGTTGGAAGAATCAAAATTGGACGATTCAGGAGGTCTAACTACAACCACAACCACAATCACCCCCGTACCAATACCTACAACTTCAATGAATGAAACAACTCAATGAGCGAGAATATACCAGTAAATTGCGTAGATATATATATTTTTTTTTTTTTTGCTGCTTCTATGTGACTTATGCATGTTTGTATTTGTATGTATGTTTATATACATCATCATTAATTTGATTCATTAATGTTAGTTATTCAATAAAAAAAATTCAAATTATATTTATATTTGTTTAAAATCTAAATGCATCATATGTGAATAAAAGAAAACATCATAACAATGTGGCGGTGTCGCTTTCTTAAATTCTTAATTTATTATTAACCTATTATTTTTTTCGACTCAATTAGAATTTCAGAAAATAACAAATTATTTTTTATTTCAAAGTATAAACTAAAAATACATCCACATGTAAGATGGCCCATGAATCCATTTAATTTCTATAATCCCCATAGGACTGTATTTTTCACATCATCATCGCTGCCAAATGTTTGACCATTTGATTGGGGTAAGGTAAATTCTTTGGATTGAATTGCTATTCATGAATTCAATATACTTGATTTTCTTCTAGTCTCGCCGAAGAGGAATGAACAAACTCTGTCGAGCACATACGCAACAATTGTATCTGCTAACAGCACATATAACAATATTTGTCGGAACTGGAAGAAGAATGAAGTCACACATCAACTTTAGTAATAACTGTTGTAGCTGCGCCACAATTAGACTTACCTCGCTGGGGAAATCAACGATTTCAAAAGTATTTGTTAGCTCAGGCGATAAACCCAAGGCTAACATAAAAACTAAGCCAGTCGATATTAGAATGGAGTAGAGTAACAAGCGATTCTCTCGTAAACTCTCCATAAACGGATGGCCCTATAGAAATAATTCAGTTACAAGTCGTTGCCTAAAATACTAATATAAGACATTTACCTTGTAATTAACCGCAAATGTTGAAACTTGCAAGGCCAAACATATTATGTACACGGTACTGTTAATAATGTTTGGCTCGAACTTTTGCTTTTCTTCAACATCCATATCAATGTAAAGTTTCACTTTACCCTCTCTAAAAATACAACATTAATTTAAAAATGCCACAATGTTTACCCATATTAGTTGTTATTGTTGTTTAATTTACCTTGGTGGTGCTCTAGCAGTTGCCTCTTGGGTCAGATAATATAATGCTGTAAAGTGAACTGCAAATTGGCACAATATAGTGGAGACGGTGTATAAGTTGAAAATGTTTGGTAATGGTGCCGTCCTGGACAATGTTTTTAAAGGCTAAGTAAAACAAACAAAAATGACAAAGAAAATGGTGTTTGATTAGCAATTATTGCTAAAAAGAAAACTGAAATGAACTCTTGCTAAAACTGCATTCAATTAATTAAATGCATATATATATATATATATATATATATACAGGAGTACCAACCTTAGATCTTGTAATAAAAAGGAAACACGCAGCAATGAAAAGTCCCTGCAATGTAGCCTGCGTGTCACTGAATTTCACACCATCGATATATAGTACAGATTGGCAATAGGCTGATATGAGCGCATTCAGGGCTAAAATCTTAAACATTTGTAAAGTGGTGACCAATGTACACCTACCCTGCTTTATGATATGGTTAACTGAAATTAATAGAGAGCAGATCATCACGTGTTGCTTTGTTAAATTCAACAAAAAACAGCATGTTACTTACCACACATTATAGAAGATGATTTACTAGTAAAAGGTGCAGCTATACTAGCATCTCCTAATTTTACAACTGATACTTGATCCTCGTCTATTTCGCGCAGTACAGATTGCAATCGTGCTTGTGTTTGTGCCAACTGCTCACGTCTTTGTTGCAGTGCACGATCTCTGGGCGAAAGAGCTTGTTGATTGTTCTGGCGGGCACCTGCCCTTTCAATAGCAGCATTGCGACCTGCTGTCCTTTGACTGTTTGATGCAACAACATTGGAGTTCTCTGCAGCGGCGTTGGGTGCTGCAGCAATGGCAGATGGCGATGAAGAACTCTTCTTAACAGGAGCATTACTAAGTAAGGAGACACCAACATTGGCATGCTTAAGGGCGCCCACGTCGTTTGTGCCATCACCACACATAAGAGTACAGAAGCCCAGTTGTTTCAAAGTGGTTATTACATATTCTTTTTGTTTTGGCGCAAAGCGAGCGCATACCGTAATGCGTGGTAGTATTTTCAACATTTTTTTGTATTCAAAGTCCTTCAAGTACTGTAGTCCTTCGCCCGTTATGCATAAATCATGTTCTGCTAATGTCGCCTTCAAATCACCCGATAACTCTAACACGGTTTCGCCGTCAATGGATTCCCATTGCCAAGTACCCCGTTGTTTCGTAGATTGTGTTAAAATCAGAAGTTGCTTGCGAGTGAAACCCAACTCCTTGGCCACATGACATGCAGTTAAAGGATTGTCGCCAGTAATCATAACGACTTTGTGCGATGCTTGAATAAGTTCCTTAATGACACTCTTAGAGTCCGGTTTCATGGGACACGAGATGATGACAAAGCCAGCAAATGTCAAATCACTTTCAACATCTTCCCGCTTAAGTTCACGAACTTGCTGTGCACTTAGTGCGCCAAAATCCTTTATGCCCAAAGCCAAGACTCGAGCTCCACGACGGGAATATTCCAAGAAAGTCTAGCATTGAAAATAAATGAATAATGTAAGCAAACTATCAAATGAGGTCCGGTGGTACTTACCTTTTCATAGTTTTTAGGCACTTCCTTAAGCATTTTCATCAACACTTCTGGTGCTCCCTTTACTGTACCAATATAATGGACATCATTACTAAATTGTCCCAAATGACCTGCCAGCACGGACATACGTTTAAGAGCAGATGAAAAATAGAAGCGTTGATAGATACGCAAAGGCTTCAGTTTTCCACGTTTAGGAATTACACTTTCCTGTTTGGTCAAATTCCAATCCACCGCTGTCAACGTTGCCTTTTCTAGTGGATCCCCAACCAGTCCATCGTCCAACATCACTAGCGAATGGCATGTGGCCAAGACTTGTATTGTAATGTCTTCAGCTTTGTCCATGGGGACAATTGCACCATCGTCGTTGAGTCCTGCAACTCCTTCTACCATCAAGTTGTCGGAGGTTAATGTTCCCGTTTTGTCAAAACAGCAAATTTGGACTTTGCCAGCAAATGGAATACGGAATGGTTCGGTGCAGAATACAAACAATTTGGACAGTTGCATTAAGGACGTATTGACAGCCAAAGTTAATTCGATTGGTAGATCAGGCGGAATAATGGATGTCAAAATGAGGGTACATTCCAAAAACAGTTTGTAACGATTTCTTTCCGGGTCTTCGCTGCCTTTAATCCATACATATGCTGCTGCAGCTATGGCGAATATCATGAGAAAAACGATAAATGCGAATGTTTCTAAGTTGTTCTCCGTTACACGTTTAACTCCAAACAGAATTGTGCGTAAAAGCTTTCCTTGGGATGTGCTGAAGCCATTGCGTATTACATAGCCAATGCAACCGCCATCAGGAGCTCGCATTGCGTCCTTTGTCGGTGCAGTATGCTGTACGACCTTAGTGCCACCAAACAGCACAAATAATTTACCATCGCCTTCAACATCGAGTTCTATATTTAAGTTGTCAAGAGACTCTAATGATTCCTTCATTTGAGGTACAGATTCGCCTAAAGGGGAAAAGTAGAATGATTTTAAAGATGAGATGCCGATTGCATTGATAGAATACATTTTAAAAACACCGAGTAAGTGCCCTATGTTTGGTATGAAGTAATAGATCATATAGATGATTCGAGCTCTATAGGTTCATTCAAAATTTAAACTATACCAAATACCTTCAAATTGTACCAAATTTATTGTCGCTTAGCACACATACGTACGAAAAATCAAAACTATGCACTATAGGTAATTTGCCCTGTTTTTGAGGCAAAAATTAATAACAGCGGTGTTAAACGATTTTTTGATTTTTTTAATGATTTATATGTACAAGAAAGGGAAAACGCAGTTTTCCACAGTAGAAACCGGATATAACGAACAACGGTTATAAGCAACTACCCATATAACGAACAAAGCTAATTCTTTGTCAGATATTTTCATTAGTTTTCTTAAACTCAAAAAACGGTTGAAAACTATTAGGGTAGTGTGTTAAAAAAATGTCGACCCCGCGATCAGCTACCACATGCGCCACCAGCTACCACAGTTTTTCAAAGAATGTAATGAACGTAAATTTGAGCAAAAACTCGTGGTTTATTGGAACCGTCGTCAAATCGCTTATAGTATATGGTTAACCGCATTGGTAACTATAAAAAGACCAAGCTATGTACTATGTAATGATTTTTCTAAAATAATAATAAAAAGCAAAATACTTTTTGTTGATAAACATTTTTGGGTTGGTATAGATTTTGGCCGATATCTTCGAGACCAATAGATCTTTCGCAGTGATTCTTACAGAAATGCGATATAAATACGCCTACGAACATATTCCATCATTCATAATTCATTTTACATCTTTAGTATGCTGGCTTTAGGCGTATATATTGAAAATTTGTCAAATTTTTATTGAGGCAAAATACTTATTACACTCACTGTATGTATAAACTGTTTTCTCAAAAAAATAAATGCCAATATAATATTATATAACCTCTTATTATTTTATAACCTCTTCTGTGTCGTGCACCAAAAAGAAGTAATTTTTAAAAGTCGGTGAAAATTTATTAGCAAAAATAAATAAATAACATTGTGTAAATGAAGTGAATAAAGAAAAAAAATACAAATTGTGAAATTACTATTCCTTAACATAATTAAAAAAGCTGGATACCTTTCTTGGACAGCAATCCTATCAATTAGAATCTGATCCCAAAAAAAGTGTAAGTAATGAAATCATAATAAAATATTCCTTTTTCTATATTTTTATTATTGCAACATTTTTTTTTTTACAATAATGGAAATGTTTGTATTGCCTGTACCCAAAAATATTCTGTGAATACGTTTTATTTTCCTTTTGAAACTTTATGTAAAATCTTTATGTTTGTAATAATAAAATGTATAAATAAAAGCAAATGTTTTTTCATTTAAAATCAACAAATTATTTAATGAAACCCGGAGAATAAATTATTTCACATATTACTAAGGACCTATAAAATAATATATTATCACTCATCGATTACATTATGCATTATATGGATAGTATAGAGCAATATATTATTTTCGTAGGACATGCAGCGTGTTACGGATAATGCATACTGTAATCATCAAATCATAGTGGCTGTGCATTACTCGTTCGTTTACCATCGATTACATTTTCCCACTGGGATCTTATATAACCTCTTATAGCTGTAAAAATTCAATTCGCAGAAATTTCATATCGAAACTGACATTCAATTTCCAAATGGAACATTTTATAGCGTATGCATCATACCAACAAAATATTTAATAAGCATGGTAACATTGTACATATGTGCATTGCGTAAAAACACTTAGTTGCAAAAAATAATACACGTAACTAACGGTAAATCAAGGATAAAGTCCAAAGTTGTCCTTTTAGTTGAAATAGCAGTAAACGAACGATTTCACATTTTTCAATTTGTAATTGATTTTCTTGTGATGACACTTTGAAAACGTAAGAAAGGTCTCATATACCTGTTTCTGTAATTTTGAAAGCGATTTCTGCAGTTTTTGTTGAATTGATTGTGAATAACATTGCATAGATGTGCTATGTATGTAATAGATCCATTATATACGCATATTGAATCAATATTTATTGAACTCAAAACAATATTTATTGAATTCATTTTGTCGCCATTAAAGAAGAAATACATTGAAATTAAGAATGTATTGAGCTGTGTATGCAGTAGTGAATAAAGCTGGAAAAGTTCTAATGTCAAAAATGTTATCAAATTATTGCTCGATTTTAACCTCTAAAGTCGCAGATAGAATCCATAAATATTGTTAAACCCCAAAAAGAATATGTTATTTTTTCCGATAGTTTATCGGCGATGTGTTGCAAATATGCAAATACAAAATGGAAAGCAATAATTTGAATAAGGGATGCGTTTATTCAAGTAATATTAAACTTGTTTGGATTCCTGGTCATGCTGGTATAACATGAAGTGCTTTCGCCGATATAGCTGCAAAAGCATCCAAAAAGAAATCAAGATTTTCTCTCGTTGCATAAAGGCCATACCATTTTATAATATTGTAGTCCTTGGCCCTATCTGCTAGGTCGCTACATCAAATAATCTAATTATAATAATAAAAATGTTTTTGAAGTACTAGGGTTCTGACCCCCTTCAATTGAATAGACGTTAAAATATTATTAATCTAGTATATTGTTAGTTTTAAGCTTTTGGTGTAGCCTATATTTTGTTGTTTTTTGAATCGCTCTTGGCCCTTTGGGCTAGGTTCTCGTATACGAAATAAATTGAGATTGAATTGAGTATTACACCCCTGTACCCACGGCACTGCTGCCGCGTAAAAATTTTTGGGCGTTCAAACATTTTGGCAGGAATTAATCTTTAGGTATATTATATCTAAGAACCTAAAGCTTCTTTTGAGATAAACATTTTTCTAGGGTTTTAATTTGACCTATATAATGCAATATAGATAAAACGTAAAGAAGAATGCATATACCAGCTACATATTCACAATCGCCCGTTTATCGGCAGAAAAAAATATGATAAAACACCGACTGATGGTGCTCCACCCTACATAGGTTTTTTTAAACATGATTAGTTTTCATTTTAGACTTACCCGTTAGCATACTTTCGTCTACTATGCAACTTCCGCGCAACAACACCAAATCGCAAGGTACTAAATTGTCATTTTGAGAACGTGTTATGGACACTAAATCACCAGGAAGCAGATGATTCGATGGCAACAGTTTCCACTTGTTGTTTCGGTACACATTCAGTATATACGGTTTATTACCCATTCTACGGATTTCGGACATATTACGCAATTGTTGCTGGACCAGAGTACATTCAAAAACAATCAACATGAACAACGTAAAAAGGGAGTAGTACCAGTATTCATCTAAACACCACAGACCCACAGAAAATATTTGAAATACGAAGAACGGTGCTGTTGCTCGTTCAATGAAGAGGTCGAAGAATTCCGGCACTACCATTTCCATGTTATTTATCCCATAGGTTTGTTCGGCCAATGTTATGGATGAATCTGTCTCTAGGCCACGTGACTTGGCATAGTGACTCAGCAGTTCGTTAACGGGAAACTCTATTCCTCGGAATGTGGCCTTATCTTCGTCCCAGACATACTTGGTTTTTTGGAAGTAAAAGTAGAACACCTCGCGACCATCTTCATACTTGGCGCTCTTTATGGGCACAAACTCAGACGAGCCGTTATTGGGTGTGGGTACAACTTTAACCAGAACTCCAGCTTTCGGTACTTTGACCTTACGACAATTTAGGAATGCTAAGACATGTACGCTCCAATAACAACACAACAATGTCAGTATATGAACAAATGCAATAGCCGCTATAGAAACTAAACCGGCTTCATAGTGCTCCTCGATACCGTATACTGCAATCCATAAATAAAATGCTCCAAAATACAACGGGACAAACGGCAGTATAAGACCACTCAATACAAGGGGGTTCCGTACATATAGTCCAACATACTGAACTAGATCATCCAAACTGCCACTGGCATGTCCACCAGTGCTCTGGGCCACCATCTTGTCTCCATTGTCTCCGTTGAGCTCTTTTAAATGCTGGTGGTCTGCAGCTCTGTCCTTTTTGCCACCACTCATTTCAATGGGTATTGCGCTATTTTCTATTTACTCATTAATTTAAAGAACCTTCCATTTAAATTTCCCAACTAGATTCAAGAAAGTGCAAGCAATTTGCTAAATAATTTTTACGCGATTGACAGTTGATGTGTGTGACGTGTCTTCTTCTTCTTCTTCCGACATATGTTTACACACAGATGTCAACTCATATGTATCGGTGGGTTCGTACCTAATTCAATGCGTATGCTTACGATTTTATTCATAACAACTGGTCTGTTCCAGTACTTTTTTAATAGTAAATCTAATAAAAGGGAAACATTTCAAAATTGCTCTCAGAGTACAAAATAATTTGAAAAGTTCGGGAACGCAAATCTATTAAATATGCCAAAATTAGATGACAATACTTCAAAATCAACATAACAGCCAATCAGAAGTAGGCATTCATGTTTACCGTTTTTACTCGACCAAATTTCTCGAGTAAAAAGTTTTCAAAGAGAACGCCATTTTGTTTTGTGCTCTCTTAAATTTGAGTAAATGTTTTACCAGTTTTGTGGGTTGAGGAACGGGTTTCGAGTAAAATGTGTGTTGACATCTGTGTGTAAACATATATCAGAAGAAGACACGTCACACACATCAACTGTCATTCGCGTAAAAATTATTTAGCAAATTGCTTGCACTTTCTTGAATCTAGTTGGGAAATTTAAATGGAAGTTTCTTTAAATTAATGAGTAAATAGAAAATAGCGCAATACCCATTGAAATGAGTGGTGGCAAAAAGGACAGAGCTGCAGACCATCAGCATTTAGAAGAGCTCAACGAAGCCAGTGGCAGTTTGGATGATCTAGTCCAGTATGTTGGGACCGAATAAATAGGTTCTATTTGATATGTATACAATGAATTTGACTATTTAAACCCACTGGATCAATGAATCAGGCACAATGTAAACGTACCATTACCATATATTTTTATGTAGTTGGACCGCTTCTTATTTAATACAAGCGTACGGGAACACAACTAATAATAGTCGAAAATGTACTAAAATTTCGTATTCGATTTTCGGTATTTGTTCAAAAATCGACTTGTTTATCCCTATTACACACGTGGTTGTTGACATCTGTGTGTAAACATATGTCGGAAGAAGAAGAAGAAGACACGTCACACACATCAACTGTCATTCGCGTAAAAATTATTTAGCAAATTGCTTGCACTTTCTTGAATCTAGTTGGGAAATTTAAATGGAAGTTTCTTTAAATTAATGAGTAAATAGAAAATAGCGCAATACCCATTGAAATGAGTGGTGGCAAAAAGGACAGAGCTGCAGACCATCAGCATTTAGAAGAGCTCAACGAAGCCAGTGGCAGTTTGGATGATCTAGTCCAGTATGTTGGGACCGAATAAATAGGTTCTATTTGATATGTATACAATGAATTTGACTATTTAAACCCACTGGATCAATGAATCAGGTACAATGTAAACGTACCATTACCATATATTTGTATGTAGTTGGACCGCTTCTTATTTAATACAAGCGTACGGGAACACAACTAATAATAGTCGAAAATGTACTAAAATTTCGTATTCGATTTTCGGTATTTGTTCAAAAATCGACTTGTTTATCCCTATTACACACGTGGTTGTCTTTGCGTGTTTTTCGGTCTTTCTTTTGGTTTCAAGAACTTCCTAGGTTGCGGGTGAAAAATGTTGTTGAAAATATTTTTTGTTTTGGCGAACTGTAAATATGGTAAGCGTATTAATTGATTTAAAATACACCACTTTTACGTATGAAATGATGATAACATTGATAGGGACATCAGAAATACAATGACGATTTATCATTGTTCCAAAAGTACTGAAAGACAAATGCCAATTTAATAGATTGTATTCTATTAGAAGACTTGTATTTAATAAATCCATTATTTCATTTATTTCATTGTAGGAACTTATGTGTCATCGTGATATCGCCTCGTGGATATCGCCTCGTGGATATCGCCTCGAATTTGACTATAATGTCTCCGGGCGCCGACTCAGAGTGTCATAACAATAAATGGTAAATATTCTTTTGATCAGTAATACACAAATAAGTTATTAATTTTCTGTAAAATTCGAAACGAACGAATTAAAGTTCTCATTCCAAAATTATTAACATATAGAAAACCACTCAATCGTTTCAAATTGTAGGGAAACAGTAAACAAATGTTTGTGATGATAAGCTTGATAGGGACATCTGATATATAATGAATGATTTATCATAGTTCCACTGTTACTGAATATTTTACATATTGTATTGCTATAGTATAAGTCATATTATTACAAATTAATATATCTATAATATATATTTATTTTTGCAGACCATACTTCGACGTTGGTGAACATTTCGTTATCAAGGTAAGACATATTAAAGTTTATTCTCATGGTGGATACTATTATGTGATGATATTTATTGATAGGGACATCTGAATGTTCATGACAGATTTATCATATTTTAAAAAATTCTGATACAAATATGTACATTTAAAATGTAAATAGAAAGGAACTTAAAAATATTATTTTTTTCATTTCAGATAAAAGATTGTGCGAGATGAATGAATGTTCGAGGTTTCTTACTTGAAAAAAAGGTTGGTCAAGCAGAATTAATTACACTTTAATACCATTTTGTTTTTTGATGAAAATTTTGATAGGGACATCTGATAAACGATGATAGATTTATCATATTAATAAAATTTCTGAATATAAATTTTTATATTAAATCGAATTTTACTTGTTTTGGCAAAGGCAATAATTTATGTTTTATTTAATTATTTTTAGGAAATTCACACGGAAGTACGAATGAACTGGTCTTGAAATGAAATGGAGCTATGTGAAGATGATGCAATTTTTGAATGACAAGGTAATAATCTCACGTTGTGAGAGGGAAACAATAAATAAAATCAACGTAGCAAACATTGCAACGCACTGCTCTTAATGATGATAATTTTGATAGGGACATCTGAAACATAATGAACGATTTATCATGTTTCTCAAAAAATCTGACGACCCCCTTTAAATGTCAATTCTTCATAGATTCCACGATATTTAAAAATGTATTTTTTTTTATTTTTTCAGATGATACCCATTCTCAGTCTGTGTTTATAGCAAGCAGAACGAAGTTTTCATTTTTTTCAAAAATGTTCACCAAAATGGATTTGTTATTAAAAAATTAACAGAACAAATAAATTATTGAATTTTAATTTAATGTGATTGTTTTTGTTCTGTATAAATTAGTCTGATCGGAAATCAAAATAAAAATGGGCAAAATAGTAGGATAAACGCACCTAATTCCGGCATGTTTCAATATTCGGCATCTATTTTATATAACATCAAATAACTAAAAAATCCTATAAATAAATATGAAAAATACTTTGAATAATCTTCAATAAGACTGCAATCTTTCTCTGTATAAATTTAAATCGAGCTAAGTACATTTATTCACTCAAAATTTGGCAGTTGGTCAATGAGGTTTGTCAACACAAGCGATAATTCATTTCTCTTAAGAAAAAAAAAAAAAATAGTGGACATGTCGATTTCGAAAGACTTGTAACTATCGTATATTATATATTTTTCACAAGTATCTTCTTCGTAATCATAAAGAACGTAGAGGAGAACACTTTAGAATTTAAAATCTTTTAAAAATGTTGTAATTATGATTTTGGCTCAAAATTGGGATAAATGTTAAATAATTTATTAATGAAAATAGCAAAAAAATTAATTAAATAAATGATTTTTGTTTAATTAAAATACGACATGCCGACTATTGGAACACGAGATGTCGACAATTGGAGAAAAGTGCCGACTATTGGTGCAAAGGCATTAATTTACCTAATTATCAATTAAATCTACTTTAATACAAATTAATGAAACAATTTTTTATTGCATCGGGGAATAAAGAAAAGAAAAGACGGATGAGCATAGATATCAATGTTGACCGACATGAAACACAGTTCACAATACACGGCAAAGACTACATTTTCCGCATACTGCTACGAGTTTGTATTTTTTTTTTCTGAAATTCAGTTATACATATATTGTATTTAAGTATTTTAATGGGCCAAAAAATAGATGTGCAAATGCTGGAGATCAGTATAATTGTCTGTCACTTTTAAAGTAGTCCTCATAGAGCTGATTACATTTAATGTGGGCGAAATGCATACTTCCTCAGATATGGGCCTTGAAAGTTTGGAAAAATCTTGGTTTAACCCAGCCGCATTATTACTACAAACAAGGCAATATGGCCACCATTTTAGAGAAAAATATCCGCTATACTTTCCAAAAAATAAAAATACATTTGTTTATCATTATTTTCAAAAATATTGATATTAAGCCTTTAGTAGTAAAATAGACAAATTACACCTTCGGCCGGGGCTTAAGACTTTCTCCTGTGACCAGGCGCACACATGTCTACGCAATCCAAATTATTTTTTTAGTGCTATTTATGAGTAATGTTAAGAGTTTTTTAAGTGGTTTCCACCTATGAGAAGATTGATTATAATTCGTTAAAAACGCATTTATTGTCCAATTGATATTGAATTTAGCATACACCCTATTTTTGATCCTAAAACTAAGTCTACAGGATATGGTGGAAACTGATCTAGATTTCAATACGGAATTCAAAATATCATCTGATATCAAATAACTTACGCTAAATGGTTGTCTCAGTGCACACAGACATTTTTTTACATTGGTAAAAAATCGCATTTCAAGTACCTTGAACAGGAAAAAATGGGAAATAAAACATCAGAAACAATTAGGCAAACATGAACTGTTTTACAATTTAAAACTTAAGTAATATAAAACCAGTGAGCGGAGCAGTATAGTCGGACGGGACCGACCATACGATACCCTACACAACTACCACGGAACTCTAACTTTCTGCGGATATTTATTCCTAGCCTGGGCAATATTTCGTGATAGTTGAAACCTCTTGCCCGATTGGAGGTCAACATCACCTCTTCCTTACACTTACATATATTCCGAATATTACTAATATTCAGTACAGTCTTTCTAATCTGACAAGTAGATTCCCTTTACCGCGAGTTGTGTTGTGATGTTCGACTTTCATTTGTGGCCTATAGATGGACACAAAAAAATTAAGTTTTTGGTCCACTTTATCTCAAAATTATTATCTGATCATCACTGAAAATTACGGGTGTTGTACTTGACCATAACTGGAACGTCATGGAATATTTTAAAGCGATCAGCGCTATATATAATATCTCAATACATAAGCACCTGTAAATATTTAAGTGTAACTCCCACATCCGAGTACATACGACAATATAATTGGTATCAATTTACAGGTCAACCACTCCTCTTGGATATACTATCAACTTCTCGGCTCTACCTTCTTCAACAGTAAATATATACGCTATAGAATAAAAATTTTGTCATTTTTCACACTAAAGTCAGGGTCCATTTGCAAAATTTCGTGAAAATTGGTCCATAACGGTGGCCTGTATCGTGTTTACAAATTATAATAGACGGACACACATGTCAAGATCGACTCAGCTAGTCGAGATATGACGATCGGTATACTTAAAGGTAGGTCTAGGACCAATATTTCTCGGCGTTACAAACTCTTGGGGCTGCACAAAGCTGTAATACTCTGACAACATAGTTGTGTAGGGTATAAAAATGTAAATAAATATTCATGACAAAAAATATAAATAAACTATTATGCCATTTTGAAAACGTGCCTTGAAAATATGTAACTTTCATGCTTACCTTATTTAATATATCCAAAACATGTGCTATTTTACTTTCAGTATTCCTATGTGCGCTGGATTGAATAGAGTCATATCATTGTTAAAATAAAGTTGTTTGAAAAAATTGCAATTTTTATTTTTCGATTTTTGCACAAGGTTTCCCAAATTGCGAGGTGTGAATGATTACTTTTCTGATTTTTATTGAAGAAAATTGATTATGTATTCTTATTATTATCGGAATCGAGAATATTTCCAATTGCTTTGCGTCGTTGACCCTACTCCTGATTGTAGTAATAGTCATTACATACGATTTTCAAAATTTGCTCCTTTGTTACATTTGAAATAAGCTAATAATTTTGCTTCAGTAAAAATATTTTTTATTATACATGTTTATAAAATATAAGTATATGTTTTGATCTAAGTGCTAACCTACGTGATATTTTACAAATTCATTAAATATTATATTTAATGAACGTCGAACGAGAAGTGTTTGTGTGTGTGAAACCATTACTGGAATTATGCCTTGTGAATTAGCCTAAATTAACAAAATATATTGACATTAACATATTGATTAACCGGCTGCGACACGACCACGGCCTTTGAACATCATCATTGATTCTGGACCACGAACCACACGAGACATCAATTCCCAGCACATTTTAGCCGGTAGTAAGCTGTTATAAAGAAACAAAAACCATTTTACATACATAAAAGTATTTTACATCGTTTATAGATACTGTCTTTAGCGTACGGGCACAGTGGAATCCCCATAATTCGCAATGACAAGATGGAGACAAATTTTATGATTTACTAAGTTTAATTTGAAACAAATAGTCAATATTTTATTCACTTACCATTTTAATGGAGTTAACATCCGTATCGAATTCGGTAATACACACCACACTTCGTTTTTACGCATAGCTGCTACAATTTTATCTGCCACATATTGTGGTTCCAACATCGGAATCATACGTGGCTTTACGCCAGAGAACATACCAGTGTTTATGTAATACGGACAAATCAATGTCATTCCAATATTATCATAGCCATGAGTTCTAAGATCTGTGTAGAGACTTTCGTGGAAACCAATGCAGGCGTATTTGGTAGCACTATAATCGGAACAACCATAGGTTCCAAGCATGCCCGTTACCGAACCGACTGTAACAATATGGCCACTGTTACTCTGCATCATATGCGGCAGGAATGCTTTAACTGTCCAATAGTGAGATATTACGTTAATGTTGTACGTGTTTTGTATAACTCGTTCCGGTAAATCCCAGAATGGTTTACAACACACTATGCCAGCGTTATTAACCAAAATATCTACATGCCCAACATCACTAACAACTTGGGCTGCCTTCTGATAGACTTCGTCGCGATCCGAAATATCAACAACATAACCTTTACAGTTATGTAGACCATTTTGTGCCAATAGATCAATGGTGGTTTTAATAGCTGAATATACGAAAAAAAAATAATAAACTTATGAAAATATATTTAAATGTAGAGTAACTGGTTAACATACCCTCATTATTAATATCCCATATAATTACACGTGCATTTAATTTGGCATAGTTTAGGGCAATGAGTCTTCCAACGCCACCACCACCTCCCGTAATCAAAACGATTTTGCCTGAAACCTCCTGGAAGAAGAATAATAAGAATAGAAATTATTTTTTGTGGTTTGTTTTTTAAAAGGGCGATATATTTTTTAAATCAGTCCGTAGCTTTATATACAGTATGCAAAATCCGTATTCATACACCCATGATAAGCCTAAAAACTCATTAATAAATCAAGGTAATTAATGTAAAAATCAAAAAAAAAAAAAAAAAAAAAAATATGAAATTTATTTTGTATACCTAGATGGCGCTGTTTGCATTATATTGCTAACATAACCCTTATTCGTACAGATTACAACGCTATTATAATAGATATGCACATTGATGGAAAATCTTTGCGAGTGATTGCAGTGTTTCTATATTACAAAAAGGAGGGCAATTTAACCTTACGATCAATAACCGGGTGCGTTTGTACCTTTTTTGAATAAAAATGCATATCATTTAAACATGTATTTTAATGTATATTCTTCTAATGCATATCGTTTTGAGTTCCTACATTAAGATCAGATCCGTATAGACTAATTCAGAACAAAAAACCGCATGATAGATGCGTTGTAGCGCTATATTTGGATGGGTACAAATGTACCACGGTTATTGATCTACGTATATTTGTTGTTTTTTGATTGCAGGGTTAAAAATGCGGGACCAAATGTAAACCGTTCCATGTTATCAAGAAGGAACTTTAGAATTCGTGTTACATCTCAAACAGTGGTAAATTACATCAGAAAATTTGGATTTAAATGCTGGTATGCTGTCAGAAAGTCACACATTTTTTCAAAATGTACCAAAATAACTTCTGAAAAAGATTATTTTTTACGGGTGAGTCCAATGTCAATATACAAATATTGGATAGACGTGTAAAAATTTGGCGAGACAACAATACGAGCTTATATCGTTATAATAGCATTCCAATATTCAAGCATGATTGCGGCTCAGTGATGGTATGGGGGAGTTATTCTGCAGCAGGAGTTTTTAAACTTCATTTTGTTGATGTCGTGATGACAATAAAGGACTATATAAACATTTCGAACGAAGCATGAAGCAAAGTGCAGATTTCGTGGGTTTTCATTTTTCAATGGGATAATGATCTCAAACGTACTGCGCTAGATTCCAGACTTTGGATCCTTTATTAATGTCCCAAATAACTGAAAATACCCATGCAGAATATGAAAACTCCGCCATCAAGCGCCATCTAGAATAATGCATTTGATATATAATACATATGTAAATCCATAAAAATAATACATCCACATATTTTGAAAAATCTGCTTATTGGATTGAATACTTCATAAATTCTTTATTTTAGTGGCTGTACGAACACTGATTTTGCATATGTATTTATATGAAATATATACATACATACATATATATTTTCAGTTCAAAAAGATTGGAGATGACGCTTAATTTTGCAATAACCCTATAATTTTTAATGGGATTTTTGCAGTGAGACTTATGTAAGGGTAAAATAAATTTAGATCTTCAGGATATTGGAAGTAACCTGAAGACAGTAAAAGATTAAAAATGACTCTACGGGGCTTGTATAGTTCAAAAACACAGGTACCCAAAATGAGGTACTCCATCATAAATTCTTTATTTTGTCAATATTAAAAGCGTATTTAGAGTTAAAAGTCAATGTTGAGTAAGTGCTTTGAAAAAATTTGCAAACATGTCTGCTATTTCAAATCTATCGCTAGAGTCTTTACTACACACCTCATACAACTAGGAAATTTACGAATATTTATTTTAGAATTGACAAAGTTATAAAATCTCCTAGGATTTGCGAAAAGAGTTTGTCTCATTTTGGATAGATAATTTGATATTATTCAAATTAGATTCTCGGTATTGTGTTTAGGTCTAGCTTTAGAATAAACAGTATAATTCAAAAGAATATTGTATTTTTTAATCTTTTGAAATAATAGTAACATCTAAGATACGGAGCAGACCAAGCTGGTCCTCTATCAAAACTAAATTTTAGAATTGGAACTAAAATTGAGAAGGCATTGTTTAACATGCTTTAAAAATATGAAACATAAATCTAAGTTATTTCCATATTTCCACTTAGTATATATTATATAATGTGTAAAGTCATCGCAAAATTTAATATTGGGTCTGGTTTTCGTCTCAAAGAGTTATTTAGAGGGTTAATTTAAACATCAAGTTGAATTATCTTTAGGTTAGTAACTTGAGAACATCTAGACAACGATACGTTTGGGAAAGAAGAAAAAGAGAGATCAGGAATTCTGTTATTAGTATTTTATATATTACTTATTTGAAGTAAACATCGATCGTCGATGCCATATGTGATTTACATATATAATATGTTAGAGTAAGTTCGAGTAATATGGTTAATTATGGTTAATTTTCTTTACAGAAAATATGATAAACATATGTGATATATAAAAAAATCGAAATTTTTTTGATATTTTGCAACACAGTAGTTGTTCTACTTGTTTGTCATTGAATATGATGTTAATTACGGCTAAGCCGTTAAACCGATAGGTTCTTGCAACTTTACTAATGTATTCTATGTATACACTTGTTGCAATCGCCTTCCATTGAGTGGAAAAACGAAATATGCTTTTTGTTGTATCCAATAGTTATGTTGCAGTACTAATATAACAATACAAGCGATTTCACTTGTCGACAGTGCACTATGGTCCGAAGCACCACTTTTCTTGGCCAAAATTATTCAAAGTTAAAATACTGGTATTTTTAACATGGATTTATATTTGCAGTGTAATTTAAGAGTTTTATCATAACGAATACTGTTTGAAATGTTGAAATTTTCAACATTTGAAATTATATTTAAATAAAGTAAGCAAAAACGATGTTGATTTCTGCCCAGCCAAACTTTTTATACCCTCCGACATGTGATGAGCATTTAAAAGTTCTTAAAAATGTTGAGACCTTTATTGAGTCTATGTCAAAAGATGAACCTACACCGAAAATATTTGGGAAAGATGTTTTCACTTTACGAGAATCCGGAATGCCAAATTATAGCCACTTCGGTGGGACAATGCAACTAAAACCTCCAAAATACCGCTAATGAGGCGGAATATATGAGGAATATCTTTAAACACGGATATCATATTAGGGCTAATTCAGTTGGAAAAGTTGGCCAAAGTCACCAAAATATCGAAAATGGTATATGGGGGCTAGCCCGAAACATGGACCAATATTAATAATTTTTTTGTAGGAAGTGTTTCATTTATTAAATATCAATACATAGGAAGCCCAATAGGGCCAATTAGTAATGCATTGTAGAGATATTATTATGCTAAAGTTATAAGTAAATTAAAATATAATTATAATATAAATTCAATAATTGGATACTTTTTGTCGATTATATAGGCTCCCCAGCCAGACGAACACTACTAAAAAAAGATTAGAGTTATAAAGATACTATGGCAGTTAGCTAAAAATAATTATCGAAAAATTTATTTTAAAAAGGAATACCATTAATATGGATTAATATCATTGTTCTGAACGAATTATTTGAGTACATAAAGCGTTTAAGATGATTAGGCAAATAATTCTAAAAACGATAAACGCGAACAAAAAATATTTTTTTGTATATCACGGAGTGTACCAGAGGGATGGATATCAATTTGAATATTGCGTGTCGAGTTAATGAAACTGAATTGATTAACCAGAACAGTGGGACTGGATGTTTTCATAATTTTATAAAAATGAAGAACCAAACGGATTAATATAATCACGAAAAGAACAACCCAAAAATGTATGCGCATATTGTAATACACGGTGATGTTCATACAATTTTATATCAAGCACATAGCGTATAATATACTTTCAACTCTATCAATATTTAAAGACCATGTTCCGGAATAAATTTCAATTCCATAGTTTAGAAGGGACATTAACAAGGACTTCGCCAAAAGAGAACGTACATACTTTGGAGTATAAAGCTTTAATGAGTATAGCCTTCTTAAAATGAACCAAACCATATTACCGAGGAGATTAATATGGTCTTCAAAATTGAGATATGAATCAATAATAACGCCTAGACATTTAAGAGAATGGACAATTTCTATCGGCTGGCCATTGAGAAGAAATTGATGACAAGGGAACGTACGATTCCTAAGATGGAAAGTAATAGCCTTAGTCTTAGAAGGATTAATTACCAAAGGAATGATTTCTATCCAAAGAGAATCCTAAATATTAAATTACAGACTATTTGCAACGGAATGACAAATTTATTATTGGCATGTACCAATAATCCGCATCTGTTGTATATAAATCCAAATAAATAAAAAATCCTATAACAGAATATGAATTCAATAGTCGGCATATGGGTGATAATAAACAGGTTTTCGACCATTTTGTCTCAAAATTGGAAAATATGTTAAATAAGTGCTCTAAATACCGATTCATTTATAAAAAATCCGCTTAGAGTGGTTTTACATGATAGAAGACATGGTTTTAATCTTAAATTCCTTTAAGCTCTGAAATGCGTAATTTGCCAATGACGAGAATTGGATAACAGGTTCCCAATGTTTATAATTCTAATATTTAAAAAAAAAATAAAATTATTTTATGCAGCCTTTTCAATACAACCCTGATGGAAAAGTCCGATAATAATAATTTATAATTGCAAATAACAGAAAAGTGGAAAAAAGTATAATTTTCGTTGAAATTAAATGCGACATGCCAACTATTGGAACATAACATGCCGACAATTGGAAAAAAGTGCCGACTATTGGGAAAGGGTAATAATAAATTTACTTAGCTTTAATACAAATTAATTAAACAAATTTTTATTGCATCGGGGAGTAAATAAAATTTCGAAATAGAGGAACGTAAATACAATATGGTGAAAAAAGGCACTCGGGATGGTGAAACGTTAAAAATGCGAAAATCCTTAAAGTGCCGACTACTGGCACTGATTTCGTGGCATTTAAAACAAACCTAAACGAAAGTTGTTCTGCTTACTCAAACATAAAAATAAATTCCACAATTGAGAAAACTTATTTTATTTCGTATAGTATTGATTTTTTACATTTTATTTTACAAAACTAATATATTTACCATCACCTTTGTTGTCCAATTCAATTTTTATTAAATAATCGAAGTTTTTAATTATAAATTTATATACATAAAATGTCATCTAGTAAACAAATTCTTTTAAGTTTGTTTTTATAAAAATTTTACCAATACAATTCCTATAATAGCTTATATAGCTGTTAAAAACAGTAATCCCATCAATTTTTAATTATTCCGTTGATATTTGTAAGTTCTATCCCATAAAATAGTCACTTGATTTAAAACAAAGCCATTAAAATTTTAGACAACATACCTTCAATTTTCTAAATCGATCTGGTATTAGTCCATAATATATAGATTCCGACATATAATATATCGATTTGAGAGAAAATATTAATAAATCCAACAGAAAGAGGAGAACAGCCCGCACTGGGTTTTCCATGTGTAGAAGATCTGCAGCCATTTTTATGTGACAGATTAATACTTTGACACACCCACAATTAGCTTCGTGTTTTTTTTCTTTTGCGAAATTAAAAGAAAATGGAAAATTTCGTTTTTTTACAGATATTCTCTTTCACTTTAAATGCAAAAAATGTAATGTCGCATTTGGACTTTCGTTTCTTTTTTTACATTAAAACAATTTGTTCACTTTATTATATTAGCATTTTCTTTTATTTGGCAGTACAATTTTGTGCAATCCAACAGTGGTGGTCGGGTGGATCGTCTGTTTCGTTTTCTGTATGGTTGGTTTTCCGTTATTTATTTGATGTTTCCACACAGACACGCACACCAAATAGTCGTGAAACAAATTTCCAAACGATCGCTGTAAAACCCGCTATGTGGGTATGTACATTTGGATTGTATGAAATTTATGTCGAATAAAACGAATCCGCCCGAGCCCGATATTCAAAGTTTGTGCCTATGCGCTATTGCGATCGCCTAGGTCTATAGTGTTGGAACCGACAGAAGAGACTAACGTTTCCGCCAGCAATACCATAAGCCAGCCAGCCAGCAAGCTTGACGGTTAACAGTGAACGTTGTAACACGACTATCTACAAACCGATCAATGGAGACAACAAGCCAATAGACAAATAAGCAAATACACATAGGTTGGTACATTGGGACAAAAACAAATGTTGGCTGGCACTAGCGGCTTGATTCTGTTTTGGCAAGACGACGTCATAAATGAAAACAAAAAAGAAGAAAAAAAAAACAAACGATGGATTAGAGTCGCATCGTAATGTGGTAGCCGGTTAAACTAACTCAAGTTGAATTTGTTGTTTACTTGAAGATGAAATTCCGTTGAAATGGAAAATTTCAAAGGTGTTTTGTTTTGTTGTAGTTGGGCAAATTTATTGTTAGCTAAGGTAATAGTCTAAGTCACGAAAGACTATTTTCAAATAAAGATGGTAAGATTTTAGTTTCGGAGCGAAAGAGTGGTGAATTTGGCATCGTAAAATGTTTACAGCCTGTTTTTGTAAAATTCCAAACGAACGAATTCGAGTGACTTACGACCAAACTCCTTGGTTTTGAAAAATATGTCATTTATTTTTGTTTTGAATCAGAAAACCTTTATAAACATAAATAAAGGTTTGGTCGTAAGTCACTCGAATTCGTTCGTTTGGAATTTTACAAAAACAGGCTGTTAGTTTTTTTTTGTGGTAAGACAATAATAAACAGCCTGTTTTTGTAAAATTTCAAACGAACGAATTCGAGTGACTTACGACCAAACTCCTTGGTTTTGAAAAATATGTCATTTATTTTTGTTTTGAATCAGAAAAACTTTATAAACATAAATAAAGGTTTGGTCGTAAGTCACTCGAATTCGTTCGTTTGAAATTTTACAAAAACAGGCTGAAAGTTTATTGAAATTACCACAGACTTTCTCTTTTCTATTAAAAATTTGTATTTAGTTACAATTTTTACTCCAACGCGTTGCGTTGCAACGCAAAATAATAAATTCTAATCTTATTGTTTCTGCAGTTTTTTCCTGTTAACCTCCGCAACTACCGTTCATGGCCTAATAAATATTGACAGTTTGGGAGATTTTCTACCAAAATGACCGATAATATTCGCTTCTTGCAAGACCTGTTTATTGGACCATGCTACTATTGTTTCGGTTTGAGTATGAGTTTTTGATAGAACATCATTTACGCATTGATTTTTAAAACATCATTTACGCTATCAATCTGTTTACAGACAATTTTCCAGGAGTTGCCCTTTGCGGTTCCTGTCATTTTGCTGCTTTCCGCTTACATTTTACTTTTCCTTCATACGAAGATTTCAACATTCATCGAAAGACTTTATTTTTTTGCTTTCTTTACCAGTCATCACCGCAGTTGGTGGTGGGATAGGTGAGCCGAACGGAAGACTGATGTCAGTTAAACGTTACCATTCCCCTGATTCAGTAGGTCACATCCGATGTTGACAACTCTGGAGTGAAGTAAAAGCAAACATTTTTGAGGCATGTTATGCAGGTTCTCGTTGTAGAATCTGTATTTGCATAGACAAGGTGGGAATTTATATGGTTAAATTCAGAGGCAGGAACCATGAACCTGGATTAGCTCGGCGTTTGAAGTGTACAGCAAACTATCAAACCGATCGAATATGACAATATGTATATTTAATGTAAAGAAATCATTGTTTGCCTAATGAATGCAAACCAGGGATGCGAAATGAAATTATTCAAATTGTACTGGCTTTCAATAAGAAGTGTACTTTTTTCAGTCCGATTGTACTTTTTATATATTTTTTAATAAAATTTTTATTGTTATTAACAATTAATAAGAACATACATAAAAAATTAATTAACATTTGAAGCAGTCGAAGCATGTATTCTGTTCCTTTCTTTGGTTTCAATTATATTTTG